CTTTCCTTTTTCTTTCTGTAGGGGTTTCTATAAAAATATTCATGGATATGGGGCACCTATGTGGCTCAGTTGGTTAAGTGTCTGACTCTTGATTTCGGCTCAGGTCATGATCTCAGGGTCGTGAGATTGAGCTCTGGGTGGGGCTCTATGCTCCATGGGGAGTTTGTTTGAGATTCTCTCTCTCTCCCTCTGCCCCGCTCACATGTGTGTGTGCGCTCTCTCTCTCCCTCAAATAAATAAATAAATCTTAAAAAAAAAAATATATATATATGCATGCACACGGATAGAAAAAATACATAAAAATCAAAATAGTTCTTTAAGGGGGTGCCTGAGTGGCTCACTTGGTTAAGCATCCAACTCTTGAACTCAGCTCTGGTCTTGATCTCAGGGTTGTGAGTTCAAGCCCCTCGTTGGGCTCCACACTGGGTGTGGAGCCTATTTAAAAAAAATTTTTTTTGTTAGGATATAGGATCATAGGTATCTGCATTCATACTTATTTTTAATGTTTTTAAAAAAACAAGTAATGGGGCACCTGGCTGGCTCAGTCAGAAGAGCACGTGACTCTTGATCTCAGGGTTGTAAATTTGAGCTCCACGTTGGGTGTAGAGATTACTTAAAAATAAAATAAATAAATATATAAATATATAAATAAAAATAACAGTTCATCAAATGATATGCCTGAAGTAAATGCTAAATGGTCTAGTTTTTTGTGCAACTGCATAAAGTCAGGTTATTAAATTCAAGAAACCACTGAAATTAAAGTTAGTATCATTCGATAATTCTTAACCTTAAAAATTAGTTACAAACATCTGTTATTACAAGGCAAAATTAGTGGAGTGGAATTAGGAAGAAACCAGACTTGTTCGGTTTTACACTTTAATGATGTAGAAATATGTCTTAACATCTTAGAGGACAGTAATCAGAATTGCTTTTTGAAAAGTTGGGCCTGTCTTCAAAAAGGAATTTTCCAAAGTTAACTAGATTTTTTAAAAACTCAAAAAACAAAAACCAAACTACTAAATGTTGCTTTTAAATGTACCTAAATACTCTGGAATCTTGGGTTTGGGAAAACCTGTTGTGCTATTAGGTTGACTGTTATACTTTATGGTAGGGAACAGTTTTTTAAGACCTGTAATAAAGAAGTGCATTATGATTGCCTCACTCTTTCATATCCAATTCAGTATTTTTTTCTGAAATAGTGATCTAAATAAAACTAGAGGTTCCACATTCAATATCGTTAACATTGTATTTTTTTTTTTGCATTGTTGGAAATTTTTAATTAAATGGAGGTCATTTATAGCAGCTTATGAGATTTATATCAGTGATTTTTGTTTGAGAGAAACTCTTGAACCATTGCGTGTTTTGATCAAGAAGTAGGAACACCGTCACCTTTTCATAAATTATTTTAGGTAAATTTAAAATTTCATCCTAGATGTTTCCCTCTGCCCAGCACACTTTCCTTTATCACCACTCCCGTGATGCTTGTTAACAGAAGCAAATTAATTTTAGTATTAGCTTAAGCAAAATACGATTAGGAAGACCAATCTGCTGAGGAAGTAGCCATATATATTTCAGAGCTAAATACAAATAATTTCTAAGTTACATGTTGTTTTGGATAGTCCATGTTACATCTCTGCTTTATTAGGAAGGATAATTATGATTCAGATGCTCTAATTTTAACCTTGACTGACATCATTGCAGTTCAAGACATTTAACCAGAATTTATTAGATAGGGGTATCTCTAAGATTGTGTTATCACATATATTACTGCTGACTGGTTTTATACTGCTGATGAAACAGCTGCAATGATTATTTTGTTCTTGTAGATTTTGTAAATGAAGATAGAATATAAAAGTCCCAGGAAACTCACCATATGTATTTTTAAACCAATACAAATGAAAACTGTGTTGGCCTGTAGCAATCTAAAGTGTATTCTTGTATTTATAGTATTCATCAAAGTATTAAGCGTGCATTTGTTAAAAGTTCTGCATTCTGTTCATGTCTGAGTTGAAAGCCTAATTAATGTAAATGTGCCTTTTTGTGCATGGTATTCATGGTTATGTCATGAAGATATCTTTATACTGGATAAGATAATAACCAGTGCTTATTGAAAGTCTGTAGTGGGTGAGGCACTTTATGTATAATTTAGAATTTCATTTAAGTCTTATAAAAGGTGTGTCAACTAATCATTATCTCCATTTTGTTATGAGGATATTGAAGTTAAAAGAAGTTCAGAATCTTGCTTACATCATGTAAGCAGGTTAGTGGAGGTTAATTGGATTTGAATCCAGGTCTGACTCCAGTGCTCATGTGTGCCGTATTTTTTCTTCATAATATGTCCATTCTGCGGACTGTACAAGTCCTAAAAAGTTAACCTCCTTTTCCGCAAACTTGATGAAAATCTAGATTTACTAATAGACAAATTTGGGATACCCTTTACTCTTGTGAGATGATTCATCTCATGTTCTTTAAATGACCCAACATGACATTAAAAATATTATTTGCTTTCCCATAGTTCAGTTTGTCACTCAACATTTACGAGTACCTGCGTTGTGAGATTTTATCAAGTGAGGCAAACCTGGGTTTTGGCCCTGTGTATTCAGCACATACTTCATGAACGCCTGTTTTATGCCAGGTTCTAAGTGTTAGAGATGTCAGTGGCTGGCAAAAGCAGACACAGTTCCTGCTGGCTCTGGAGCTAGTATACCTGGGTTTCAAGTCTTGGTTCCACTTTTACCTCTTAATAACTGTATGACCTTAGGTTCTTAGCCCTCGTAAGTCTCTGTTTCTTCACCTGAAAGAAGGAAAGAATTATAGCACCTTTCTTAGGGTCATTGTGAGGATTAATTGAGATCACGTATATTCATAGTGTTGATATCAGGCATGTAATGAAACAATAAGCGTTACTTTTTAATATCCTCTTTAAAATAGCAATTGAACTATGAACAAATTTCTTTTAAAAAAAATAACAAGCTTCATTAGTATTATTAGCTTCAGTCTGGGATGGTAGTCATCTTTTCTTACTTGCAAAGTCTCAGTAAGTGTTTCATTTGCTCTGCACACAGCCATATACATTTTAGAAATATAGTACACTGTATTTTTTTTTTTTTTTTTGTATTTTAAAGACCGCGCTAGAGGCATTGCATGGGATAATTCCAAATACAGGAGTATGTATGTTTGGCTTGTGGCAAGTAAACTATTTTTTTATTACTTTTCTTTTGAAAAAGAAGATTAAGAGTCACTTTGATTTATTCTGTAAAGCAATGAGAATAATGAGAATTTCCGTGAGAAGAATTTTAAGGAAGAAATTCTTCATTGACTGCAAAGAAAAATATGACAACATCACTCTGACTTATGGTTGGCATTTTGTATGATTTCTTGAGTCTTTTTTAATGGAAAGTATTTCTAAATATTTTAAGAAATGGGAAAATTGAAAATGATATTTTCTGCATACTTAACAACACAGTATGCACTTGGCTATGTAAATTCAAATGCAACTAACTGAATTTAAAAAGGTACATGTATAAAGAGTTATACAAGAGTAATTAATCTAGTCAAATATCCTTCTAGATTATTAAATTGTTTTAGAATATTATGATCTATCAAGAGTGTGAGGATGAGTTAAATGCATCCAGCTATGATTTCTTTTAGAGACATACATTAAAATGAATGACAGATTTCTTTAAGTAGTAGTTTCCATTGGTAATAATTTGTTACGACAGTTAAATTCTCTTTTTGTGAATTCATGCAAAAACTTACACTACCTCGAAGGAGATTTGTTCAGTGATATCTCCTGTAAAAAGATATGTCAGGGCTATTTTCATTATCTGTAATGAAATCTTGTTAGAGAAAATCTTGCTTTGACATTAAATCATTCTTATTTTTTTCATTACCAAAGTCCAAATGCCAAGGAAAAGTCAACTCACAAGCTGGAGAGGTATGTAAACAGTTCAATTACAGTGAACTGTTCTGAAGTAGATTTTACTATATTTTTCCATTTTCATAGTTCCTTTAAAGCCTGATTAAGCCATGTTAAAGCACATAAGAGATAATTTGATGTTTTATTAGAAACATTTTCCCCATTATACATAAAAGAAGACTGTGTGGTTAATATGGAATTTTGGTTTTGTTTTTTTTTTTTATGTGGGTTTTTTAAAGGACTTTTTTGTATAATAGATTTTAAAATATTTCCTTTAGTATGTGCAGCCAACTTTTGCATTACCTTTGATTTTGTAAGTGAAAGTCAGAGTTCTGAGAATGAATATTAGTTTTGCTGCTAATTTATTCTAAGTTTTTAACGTGTGAGCAAACTTTTGGCATATATGCTAATTTATGTAACCTCAGTTAGGATTTAAATTTATTAAGATTAAGATTTAGTTACCTGTTTTAATGGTTAGATTTTAAAGGAGCAAATTTAAGATATAATTTATTCTTAGAAGCTAAAGAAAATGAGAGGCGTAGAAATTATTTAGCTGCTCTTTGGGAGAGAAGAAATGTACTCATATTTAGAGCTAAGTTTCTGCATTATTTCATTGAGAAGCCAAAATAAAACAATTACAACTTCCTATTTACCATGAGGTTAAAGAAATTAACACAACTCAGTGAGTTTGAGATTTGCATCAAAATAGGTATTGAAAAGAATAAAGTTGTTTCATAAGAACAATGTTTAGTGATGCTCATTTAGTATTTTTGAGCTTGAAAAATGGATTCATAGGATGGTTCTGAAAATGAACTCCTTTATTATTTTGATACCACATAAGCTGTTAAGGCTAAGTTATCCATGCTGTGTTGGAGCTCAGCCTGCAAAGAAATGAATTTACTGATTTTTGTCACTTGCAAGACCAGCGAGGGTTACTGTAGCCTGCCAGTTGACTACATCAATGCATAGTACTGTGTGAAATCATCAAGTGGTACTCTTTGTTTTGAAAGTGATACATGTAACTTTTTATTGTAACTATTAATACAAGCAAAGAAGCTAGTAGTGCTTTTATTTATTTTATTGTCATTACACAGTTTTCTAGGAATGTTCAGCAATATGTCAATTCAGCTATAATTCTAGTATGAAATACAGGAACTATGAATAAGCTTTTGGTGCCTGCCTTTAAAATTAAATCAATAACTTTAATACCTTCTTACAATTACATTTGGTTTCACTATAGCTCTTAGTACATCTGCACATTTCTTTTGCTCTCAGTAGTTAATTTTTACCAGTTCAGTTTCTTTGTAGTTTTATAGAAAAGATTTTAAATCTTATAGCCCCTTAACATATTTTATTACCATTTACTTAAATGAATCATAGATAATGTACATGCTTGTTCATTGTGCAAGTACCCAAGACATTCTGATTGAAAGACAGCTTCAGGAGAAATAAACAAATAGCAAAAGCATTCAGTTTTTATTTACAATATGTAGAACATCATTGTTTTCATTATAAGAGTCTGATCAGCAGGAACACCCTTGAGAAGGACATCTTTAGCGATAGAATTTACATACCGTTAGCTCACAGTAATTGATTAGCAGCAGGGCTCTGAGTACGGAGCTAGCCCGGCACACGTTATTCGGGATGCCTTTGATGCTGTGGTTTTCCGAAGCTTGCTGGCTGCATGCTTGTTGCCTTTGTTCATGACACGACACAGGTAATTACTTGATAAAATGAAGTGCATCGCTGTGAACAATTGACCCTTTGGAACAATCCAGGCTGGTCAGCAGTCTAAAACCACACTTTAAGGCCATCATTATAGCCTCAAACTTAAGAGTTTCCAGGGTACAGACAAAGGTGTTGTCTTCCTTTAGTACAAGTCGAGTGCCATTTTCAGACTTTATGAAGTATTTAAATTGAATGATATTTGATGATATTGAAAACTCCTCTGGAAATCCATCCAGCCTGCTTTTGGACACCAGAACAATGCGAGATTTGATTTTTGATATGAAATCAGGAGCATTACAGAAAATTCTCAGTCCTTGTGAGCGATCATGGTTATCTGTTATTTCCAAGAAAGTAGTCTCTCTGGGTGTTAGCTGTTCTTTTTCCCACCTGGATTTCACTTCCTCCGCCAGTCCCTTGAGCTGAAAGAATTCTGCTTCTTGTGCAAGAAGTTGATTTTCTCGAAACCCTTCGGGCAGTAGAAGTTCTCCATTTCGTAGGAAGTTTAGGACATGCCTGAAGAGGAGTCCATCCCTGTCTATGAAATAATGACCATCAGCATCAAACGGGCAGAGGATTTTTCCATTTACTATACCTTCAAGGAAAGTGTCTGGGTACTTGGTCAGTGTTTGTTTTTGAGTAATGTATAAATATCCACCAACGTTGAGGGTCATCAGTGTGGATTTGCAGTTCTTTCCTCGTTCAGCATCTTCCAAGCTGTTGTGTTTCCCTTCATACTCCTTTTCTTTTTCTCTTCTGTTTATTTTACGCTCCATTTTTGAAAATGCTATTTCAGCCTGTTCTTCTTGGCTTTGAGATTTTTAAAAAAGAAACACTACCACACAAGCACGCCTTTATTCAGCCCCAGCCTGGTGATGGAATGGAAATGCGGGCAGCGCCGCCTGCGCTGTCAGCTCGGTTTTGCAGTAGGTGGCGTATCAGCTATGTGTGCGGGAGCTTTCTGGAGTAAGACGGGAAAAAAAAAAAGATAATTTGCATTTAACTGTATGGGGGAAGGAATTTGTTGTTTAGAGATTTTCATGTATATTCTTTGAAATAATAAAAGTTACTCAGAATAAACTGAATTTCCTCTTAGCAGTTAAGCAATTACAAACATTTAATTCTCCAGCTGAGTTTGAGTGTGTTTCCATTTCTAAATGTCTTTAAAGTTATTGCTCAATCAGGCAAGCTTAATATTGAATAATATTGTTAACTTTTGGAGAGTAATGTATATTGAATTAGTATCATCTTTTAAAGTAAATCATAAACAGGAAATCTAAAGAGAAAGGAAGTAGGTGTATAGAATCTTTTCTCCTATAAAAAGTCACATATTTCACAATGGTGTAGTCATTTTAGAGACCCAAGTGAGAATATTTAAACCTGTTATTTGTGATATTGCACTTGAATTTAATTGAATTTGCATGTAATTCTGATTTGGGGATTTTTAGCATGTGAGAAGAAATTTTCTTAAAGCCCTTTAACAGAAGAGAATTAATTAATGTGTTAATTAATTAGTTTATTTATTTATTTATTTATTTATTTATTACCCTAAAGGGAAAACATCAAATATACAGGCTTTGCAGTAATCATTTACATTTCTTTTTGGTTAAGATTTCCTATGGAAAATTCATAAGCTTCTTTTGCCCTAAAGCTGCTCCAGTGCTGAACAAAGACTTGGGCTGCTGTAGGAAATACTGTAACTGCGTGTGTACGCGTGTGCACGTGCATGTGTGCGTGCGTGCTTTCACACACGTGCATGTGTTTCAGAAGATAAAAGATTCAGAATACCTTCTATAAAACAGTGTCATGGTAAATTTCGCTGTTTGTTTTTTTTCATTATTGTTGGTCTCTCCCCCGCCCTTCCCCGCCCAGTGTTCACAAAAGGCAAGAGAAAGGGCCAAAGACAGCTTTTTTTTTTTTTTTTTTTTTTTTTTAACTTGGGAACTGGAACAGTGTTGAGTCTGGTGTTTTTCCCATTTCTTTCTTTTTTTTTTTTTCCTTTCCTCCTTCCCTTGTAACTTGCCTTCCAAAGCATTTTAGAGATCTGAGCTTTTATTTCTAGAGTTTAAAGGCCCAGTGGTAAGAAATGTGAACATTTTCCCCTGTACACTATTATTTGACTGGTCTATCTGCTAAATTATTCTGAGGAACTACATTATTATCAGAATTAAATTAGATTTAATATTAAATTGACTTCTATTACATTAATGGTATTTTTAAATTATTCAACTGTATGTTGGTGGAAATAATGGAGCAGAGTCTTCTAAAAATGCTTATTACCTTGTATTTTCTCTAAACAATGTTAGATTTTCTTCAGATATAAAAAATGATATCCTTAATTATAGCAGGTAATATCTTGATCATTGAGATTATCAAAAGTCCATTGAAATTAAACTAGAAATCTAATGCATAAACATTTTTAGAGCTGAGTTTTTGCTTAGAAACCATAAAATTCAACCTTCTCATTTTACCAAAAATAAAATTACACTCTAGAGAGTTTTATTTAGTGTTTTATCTAGAACTTTACAGCTTGTTAATGGTAAGCCAGCACTTGAACTAAACCTTCCTCTCAGTCCTGTATCTTTTAAGAAGAGTTTACTCTTATATTCGGTTTCTCTTTTTTTAAGATTTTATTTTATTCATCAGAGAGCAAGCACAAGCAAGGGGAGCGGCAGGCAGAGGGAGAGGGAGAAGCAGGCTCCCCACTGAGCAAAGAGCCCGACAGGATCATGACCTGAGCCAAAGGCAGACACTTAACCCACTGAGCCACCCAGGAGCCCCATATTCTAACAGTTTCATGTGTGTGTTGATTGTGTTGTTTTGGATTCAAGTCTTTTTCTATGGATCAGACTTAAATATTGAATATATTTTTTTGGTACAACTTTGGAAGTGCATGGGGTTCATATGTTTATAGCCACTGCACCATGTTATAAGCAGAATCAACAAAGGCATAATAATTTCATTGATAGGCCTAGTCCTCTTTAAATGAACTTTATGAACATCAGAATCAATAGAACATAACTAGTATAGTGATGGAACCCAGGTTTTGTGTGTTTAAATCAAGTGATGTAGTAGAATACCATGTAATACTAGGCCTTCCTTACGTCCTGTTTGGCCCGTTTGTAGAAGCCGTCATGGGGAAATAAAGCTAGTGCTGCCAGAAGATGGGCTTTCCCAGGATGGGAAGGTGAGGCAGGGCTGCTGCAGGTTGGACTGCTGCCTCTACAGTCATCAGTCCAAGGCTGCCTTACCCTTGCTAACTCACTTCTGGCTTCTGCTCCCTGATTTTTATTCTTTGTTTCTGCTGGCTTGCCTTGACAGACTCCAAACCACCCGTGTGTGCCCCTGACCCTTGTTTCTCACTCTAGGCTTCACTCTGGTGTTCTTGGCTTCCGCACACCTGACATGTATGATTCGTTTGCCACCCCCATGGCCAGGCAACAAGAGTGTAACAGAGGCTTTGTCTTGGTGCCTGACTAGAAGTTGATAGGAATCCATCGCACTTTTCTTTTGTGTCCTGCTGCCCCCAACTTGCAGTCTTAGAAAAAGAAGAATGGCTCCGGTAGGCCTCACTTTATCCCCGTTACTCCACATCATCCCCTTTAAAGTAACATGACTGCATCTTACAGAAGTGGCAGGGGCTTGTTATCACTGCTGCCTGTTGTGGTACACCTGCCCCTTACAAGAAAGCCATGTTGCTTCTTTTTTTTTTTTTTTTTTTAAGATTTTATTTATTTTTTTGACAGAGAGAGACATAGCGAGAGCAGGAACACAAGCAGGGGGAGTGGGAGAGGGAGAAGCAGGCTTCCCGCTGAGCAGAGAGCCCGATGTGGGACTCGATCCCAGGACCCTGGGACCATGACCTGAGCCAAAGACAGACGCTTAACGACTGAGCCACCCAGGCGCCCGCCACGTTGTTTCTTTATTCTATTCTATTCTAAGTTTGTATTTGCCTGCTTGGGTGGGTGGAGGGTGGGGAAAGCTTGTCCTGGACATTGTCAGTCAGATCCACATAGCCCTAAGACTATAAAAATCATGCTTTAGTACCTATGCCAGGGAAAACGTGGTGTGATCGTCTTTCTCCACGTTGCTGCAGATATAAACTGCAGTTAATCAGTTCAGCAGTTTCAGCAAAAGGCTTAACCAAGGGGCGCCTGGGTGGCTCAGATGGTTAAGCATCTGCCTTTGGCTCAGGTCATGATCCCGGGGTCCTGGGATCGAGCCCCATGTCTGGCTCCTGACTTGGCAGGGAACCTGCTTCTCCCCCGCCCTCTGCCTCTCCCCTGCTCATGCTCGCTCTCTCTGTCTCAAATATATAAAATCTTTTTTTTTTTTAAAAAGGCTTAACCCACATGTCAAAGATTAGCTCACTTAGATCCACTTGACCGCTAGACTTGAGGATTGCGTCTCCTTTGCAGACAGAAGGTTTTTTTGTTTTTTGTTTTTTAAGAGTAGGGGGGCCCTGTTTTCACTCAGCATCCTAGACCTTTATTAGAATTAGAGCACCTTTATCTTAAACATCTATAATCACACAAATAAAAGAGCCCTTTAGCCAACTTTGAGGATTTGAATAGTACCATTGTTACGTTCTTGGTATAAGTCAATCCATTAGTTAGGGCCAATGCCTAATCAAATTCTAGCAAAATCTCCCACTAATATGATGATGCTAAATCCTCCACTACCTGCATTAGGCAGAACTTACTCCAGGCCAGTGGGAGGAGTTTCCATCTTATCTACCAGCTCCTGATGGAAAATGAGGTCATTGTCATTGCCATGATTGACACAGGATGTCATCATAATATATGCTTGCTCCATTTATATGCCATGAAAGGAAGTAGAACCTCACCAAGAAGGTAATCTCTCTTGGTTGGAAGATATAAGATTTGATGATCCCCCTTCAAGCGCAACATATCACTCCTCTATGAAATTCAAACATTCCTTTTCAAGGAAAAGGGTTGGTCTTAGGAGCTGCCTTTAAAATAAGAACATTGGGGACACCTGGGTGGCTCAGTCGGTTAAGCGTCTGCCTTTGGCTCAGGTCATGATCCCAGGGTCCTGAGATGGAGCCCCACCTTGGGCTCCCTGCTCTGCAGGGAGTCTGCTTCTCCCTCTCCCTCTGCCCCTCCCCCAACTCGTGTTCTCCACACACCCTTCTCTCGCTCACTCTCAAATAAATAAAATCTTAAAAAAATAAAATAAAATAGGAACATTGTGCTTCTGCCTCCACAGTCTCCACCTATACCAGATCTTTTTGGTTGATTTTACCTCCATGTGTTCTGCCTATCTTCTAAAAAAGATTAGTTCCTATTACCTTAGAAAGAAAGTAAAAGCAACTACAGCTAGTGCAGCTGCTGTCAGTTTTTACTTAAATCTGGGACTCTGTGTCCTGGACTTTGCCACATTTTTTCAAGCTTATTGATCTGGGTCTTTCTTTCTCACTTGAATATGATGCCCGCCTCTACCTGACTCCATGATGATAGCTTAATCTGTTCATGTTCCCAAATCTGGTTAACCCTTGGCCATCTTACTTTTATGTCCTCTGATGCCTCCTTGCTTTGAACTGTGGCTTTCACAAGCTAAGTTTCTCTTTTTTAATGTGTGGCTTACCTCTTTTTCATAGTCTTCTGTTAATAGCATTTAATATGAGAAACATTTGTTTCGATATTCAGCTATGACTTTTACTTTAGCCTCTGTGTTAAAAAATAAAAGTTAATTGAAAATAAAAATAAACTACAATGTAATGTATTAACATTTTAAGAATCAAGGATTTTTCCACGTTAATCTAATTCTGTTTGAATGCCAAAAGTTTAGTTTAGTTTCGAAATACAAAATCATCTGCATTAGATGTTGTCTGGTACTGGGATTGTACTAATACAAGTGCTGCCTCCCCTGCCTTATGGAGCTGATTGGCCA